AAAGGAGCGCGTGTTGCCAGCGCGGAAAGAGAAAAGGAGCGCATGTTGCCAGCGCGGAAAGAGAAAAGGAGCGCATGTTGCCAGCGCGGAAAGAGAAAAGGAGCGCATGTTGCCAGCGCGGAAAGAGAGAGGTGCGCATGTTGCCAGCACAGAAAGAGAAAGAAGCATGTTGCCAGCGCAGAAAGAGAGAGGAGCATGTTGCCAGCGCAGAAAGAGAAAAGGAGCGCATGTTGCCAGCGCGGAAAGAGAGAGGTGCGCATGTTGCCAGCACAGAAAGAGAAAGAAGCATGTTGCCAGCGCAGAAAGAGAGAGGAGCATGTTGCCAGCGCAGAAAGAGAAAAGGAGCGCATGTTGCCAGCGCGGAAAGAGAGAGGAGCGCATGTTGCCAGCGCGGAAAGAGAGAGGAGCGCATGGACCCAGCGCGGAAAGAGAGAGGAGCGCATGTTGCCAGCGCAGAAAGAGAAAGGAGCATGTTGCCAGCGCAGAAAGAGAAAGGAGCGCATGGACCCAGCGCTGAAGAGGTATCACATGTACCCCCATGTTCCCAATGTTGAATTATCAGTAGGTAGGAGTCAAGTGCTCCCCCATACCCAGCAGATCACAGTATTGTCAGTATTGTGTGAGAGAAGGGGTATAGAGTGTACACATGGTTCCTCCTGTAAAGTGGACCTGTCATTTGCCTACTATGTACTGACTTGTTCTACTTGTAACAGACAAAGTCCTGGAACCCTACTGAGCTGTGGCAGGGTATTGGAATCACAGCAGTGGCCATCCAGGATCATAAATATTCTAGCCGGTAAAATAGATAAAACATTCTAATTATGTCTTCGTGTATTTAGCTGCGACCTCCTTATCAGCTAAAAAAAAAACCAAACAGACCAAAAAGAAAATGAAAGCTGCACCATAAAGCATGAACGTTATAAACAGACTGGACTATCAACTTGAGGACTATTACTTATTTTTTTGGAAGGGAATGCACAGATGTTCGGAGGGGCCACAGAAGCAAACCAAAGCAAAAAAAGGTAAAATGCCCATATTGGGGGGTGGAGATGAGCAAGGACAATGGTGCTGAATAGGGGGGAGGGGAACATCACAGTAGCATCGTCCTTGCTGTAATACAAATTCAATTACCTCTGACAGGCCGCCCCGTGTCAATGATACATTTACAAGTATGTACACACCATTACCCAGGTGAAAGACACCATTGCTACATTGTGAGCCGACAAGCAGCAACAATGTTTACAAAAAAAAACAAATGTGTCATTACCAGGGAAGAGAAATTGAAACCAACATCTCATGTGTGGGTGAGGCAGGGGATAAACATATCTGGTGATTACAGATGTCAGCGTGTACGGTGGGGGTTGTTAGTATGTACGATGGGGGTTGTTATAGTTGATTAAGAAATGATCACAGGACAACAAAATGAAGGATAATAAAAAAAATTCCATGTAGCAATTTTTGGGCACAAAGAATGAAGGATATGAAAGAGGAACATGGAACACACGGAGGAGTATGCTGAAATTTGGACATTCTATAACTAAATACCTAGTATGAACCTCTACTGCAGAGGTTGGCGCTATAGGTCCCTAGACATAGTAAATGGAGATATAGTAGAACGAAGGGGGGGTCACAAGTGAGGATATAGTAAAGCTGATCATACACTGCAATATATTATTTATTCAACCTGCGGGATGGACAAAGAAAACATTACCGGCTTTGATAGAGGAATCTCCCGCTGTCTTCATTGTATTCTGATGGCAGCTGCTATCAGAATACCAAAACAGAGCAGGCAGCCGATTGGCTGTTTGCTGTGTTTTAAGATTTTCCGACCGCCTCCTTCGATCTGCTTTTTTAGAGATTTGCCGGACGAGAGGGTGCCAACAGCAGCACCCAATGTGTGAAGTTTGGCCTGCTCAGCAAGAATTTTGCTGAAATTTATATAATGTATCATTTTTTGGACGAGGATTTTCTTGGCGTCAGTATATCAAAAATAAATAAAACAAACAAACATTATTATATAAAACAAACAGAGCCGCATAATGAAGATCTAAGTGTCAAAGTAAAAGGAACACCCCATGTCCATGACACGGAATGGAATTTATCCAAACTGGAGCAGACAGATCCTGGAGCAGACGTGCAGAGCAACCAATCAGCTTCTCTCTTTCATTTTCAAATCTTTACTGAACAAACTGAAGAGATGCTGATTGGTTGCCCTGCAGAGCTGCTCCAGTTTGGATAAATTCCCCTTACTGTGCTCTCCTACTCACCAATGCACATGTATGGCATGGACAGGGCACATAGACCGGGGGTCGGCCAGCTTGGCACGCCAGCTGTGGTGAAACCAAAACTCCCATGAGGCACTGCAAGACACTGACAGCCACAGGCGTGACTCCCAAGAGACACAATGGGATTTGTATATCTGTAAAAGAAAAAAAAAAAATCAAAACTGGACTTCCTGTATTTTTCCTTGAACATTTCTGCATTGAGAATGCTAGTCTGATGACCAGCGAAAAGTCTTCAAGAAAAAACAAAAAAAGTCCAGTTGCTTTGATTTTTTTTTTTTTTTTTTACAGATATCCCATGACCTGGATGAATAAGAACGGTCACAGACATGATGAGAGTTGTAGTTTCCCCACAGATGGCATGTTGAGGTTTGTCTGCCTCTGATATAAAGCCGATTATAGAGAAGGATGATCATGGGACAGGATGGAAGCTACACAGCGCCTAATACAGGAGACCGTCGGGGGTAAAATACACAGTGGACCAGCGGGACGTCCTCGGGATGGATAAAAAAAAAAACTTTACCAGAAATATAAGAGGGTCCCGGGGTACACCGTACGGCCTCCCGGGTATTAAGCTACAATATACAGAGATTAGAATACAGAGAGGAGATCTCAACTGACATTGCAATATCTATAAGTAGATTCATATTAACAAGAACAGCCATTACTATACAGTGAGGGGAATCCCCGGGTACAGCCGGATCACCTCATATGATACATTGTATACATATGCATATTCCCTGCCGGAGATCCCTGGGAGAGCATGGGATGGATACAAATATATTTTATAGGAGTTGAGTAGGAGTCATCAGAGGTGCTGGACAGTTTAAGGCTGGATGGAGATATATAGTATACCATATAGTATACCATAGAGGGTTACTAGGATACAGAGGAGGGTCTTTCCAGGGACAGAGCAGATGGCTGGAGCTATACAATGTATTATATACACAGGGACACAGAAAAATGGTTCCTTCAGGGACAGGCTGGATGGAGATCTGTGGTGTATTATATATACTGGGATATATAGTGAGGGGTCCCCCCCCCCGGGACAGGTCAGATGAATGGAGATCTAGGATATATTATATATACACAGGTCCCCCCGGGGATGGGTCAGATGGAGGAAAATGTTACATTGTATATACAGGGAGGATACATTGAAGGTTCCTTCTAAAGGACAGGCTGGGAATAGAGAGATAGATAGATAGAGAGATAGAGAGATAGAGAGATAGAGAGATAGTATATTATACACACAAAATATATGTGGAGGATGGGGATGGTGCCAGGGATGGAGATATGGATGTATTATATATACACAGGGAAAATAGATGTGGGGGGTAAGGATAGGGATGATGGGGTCAGGGATGGAGATATGGATGTATTATATATACACAGGGAAAATAGATGTGGGGGGTAAGGATAGGGATGATGGGGTCAGGGATGGAGATATGGATGTATTATATATACACAGGGAAAATAGATGTGGGGGGTAAGGATGGGGATGATGGGGTCAAGGATAGAGATTTGTGATGTATTATAACAAGGGAGTTGTAGGATGCAGGGACAGAAGATGTGAGCTGCAGGTGAGGGATGAGGATGACGATGCTGAGGATGGAGATTTATGTTGTAGTCCTTCCAGCGACAGGCCAGATGGAGATATGTGATGTATTATACAGAGAGGAGTTACTAGGATACAGAGAATAGATGTGAAGCAGAAGGATGGGGATAAGGCAGCCAGAGATTGATCTATATGATGTATAATAGAGAGAAAACCAATGTGGAGGTGAGGATACAAAGAGAACAGATTTGGAGTTGAAGGATGGGGATGAATCTATACCATGGGAGGAGGTACTAGGATACAAAGAGAACAGATTTGGAGTTGAAGGATGAGGATGGTGGGACCGGGGACGGCGAGATAAGGGGAGTCACTAGGATACAGAGAGATCAGATGTGCTGAGGGATGGGGATGATGAATCCGGGGACGGACATATTATGATGGATTATATACACAGTGAATGCCCCTCCCCCCCTCCTTCCCCCAGGGACAGGCCGGATGAGGGGGAAGCTGCATTACATATGAGGGATGGGGCCGGGGATGTCGGGCCCTGGTACAGTGCAGCAGGCCGGTGACAGGGCGAGCTGTATAGAGGGGTCTATGGAGGTCTGTCCCCCGTCCCGGGATCCTCCCACCCCGCCTCCCTCTTCTCCTTCTCTTACCGGCGCTGGCTGGAAGTGTGCTGTCGGTGTGTACCCCAGGCCGTTCTCACTGTGCGCCGGGTCCTCCGCTGCTCTCCGCTTCCTTCCCTGCCAACCCTTCTCTAGCCAGCGGAAGTGACAAGCAGTCATGAGGCAGCTGACGTCACCCCCTCCTCCCGCACGCCGATTGGTGCGCTCGGCGGGGCGGGGCGGGGCGGGAAGAAGGCTGTGTCATGTGACGTGCTGTGTCACCTCTTGGCCGCCATGTTACCTGGGGCCAGGTGTGGAAGTGTGTCTGGGGGTTTCCCAGGGAAGGGCAGCCATAGTGGTTGGTGGGGGCGTTATAATGTGTCTACTGTATGACACCGAATCGAGTGAGGTTCATGGGCTGAATTCACTGTTCTGAGAGGATCATTTGTGACTCTACAAAACCTCTGACTTCCTCTATTTTGCAGGGAGGGATCACCTGCCAAGGGGGATGTTTTTTTCATCTGTAACTAGGCAGACATGCATGAAGATACTGTATATGTGTGTGTATGTGTATTTAGGTGTGGCCCCTGGTGAGCCTGCAAGCAACACACTTCCTGTCTCAGGGTGACAACACTCCCTCAATGTACCATATCTATGGAGGAGCAGTGTTGTCACCCTAGGTTGCTCTCCTGCAATGCAAGTGAAGGCAAATCCACGTTTTTCAGTTGTCAACAGGAATAGAGGGGAGATCTATCAATGGTGACGGCTGTCCTAGTGAGATTTTTTTTTAGTTCCTCTTGAGTGCAGGGCAGGAAGTGAAGGGAAGTATACATAATATGACACAGATGACAAAAAAAAGATTTTTTCCCCCCATTAAGGCAGGTGTAGGCGACCTCGGCACTCAAGCTGTGTTAAAACTACAAATCCCATCTTTTGCTTGTGGGTGTCATGCCCATGGCTGTCAGAGTTTTGCAATGCATCATGGGATTTGTCCACAACAGGTGGAGTGCCGAGGTCGCCCAAGTTCTTTGAGTGTCCTGCAACGAAAAAAACATTAGAAACAACAGTTAAGAGTATAAAACAGCGTGGCTGAGGGCCCTTCACACAGTGAACACCATTACATATGGACACAGGATACCAGGACACATAGATAACAATTGTTTCCTATGTGAGGAGAGAGCCAGGGGATCCAACCAACTAATCGATAATGAGAATAGTTGACAACTATTCACATTACCCCCAATTCTTACCCCAATACTGGAACTTCCAGTCGGAGGGAAATGAACATGGAACCATCTTCCGGGGCCAATCAGGAAGCCGGGCAGCGGGTAATGACTCGCCACCTGGCTTCCTGATTGGCCGGGAAGCCAGGTACATGCTGTTTGGCCAGCTCCATGCTGATTGGCTTGGAAGCCGGCTTCTCGGCCAATCAGCGTTGAGTCGCCTAAACAGCATGGAGCTGGCTTCCTGGACAATCAAGAAGCCAGACGGCAGGGAAGCCAGCTCGATGCTGTTCGGCTAGGAAGGCCAATAAGCATTGAGCCGGCCAAACAACTTGGAGCTGGCTTCTTGGGTAATCAGGAAGGCGATATCGGTACTTGGCAAAGGCGAGTACGGAAAAATTAATGTTGATACCGAAAAAACGGTATCGGTACATCCCCAGAAAGATGGCTCCATGTTCATTTCCCTCTGACAGGAAGTTCCAGTATCGGGGGTAAGAATTGGATCATTTGGGCAATTCCTCGCCCAAATACTCGGTACTGGCACCAATACTAGTATCGGTATCAGTGCATCCCTAGTACATAGGAAACAATTGTTATCTATGTGTCCTGGTGGTGACTGGGGGTATGTACCCATTCACAATGCAACGCTGCCTTCAGGTGTGTTGCAGTGTGCTGTGGAAAAATGCGCACATGCTACGTTGTGAGGCTGCAACCGATGATTATTTTCCTAAACGATTAGTTGGCTGATTGTTTTTTAGAAAAATTAAATAAATACCATCCTTAAAGGAGAACTATGAGGTGAGTGCTTTTCACTCACCTCATAGTTCTAGCCAACCTGTGACAATGAGACTGTCACAGGTCGGCTCAGTAGATCGGGAGGTGAGCGAACACATACCGGTGTTCGCTCACCTCTCAATCCTGCCACGGCTCTCTGCCGTGACAGGGGAGGGGCTGGATTCCCCTCTCCCCGCTCCGATCCGCCACCGCTGACTGGCGGAACGGACGGGGGAGGGGGCGGGTACAGCTGGCTCTGCCTCTAGGTAGGCAGAGCCTGCTGTCACTCACGCAGCTGGGCGGGTCCAGACATAATTGTCGGGATCCGCTTATACTGAGCCTAGGGTGACGGGAGGACGCTAGTTTGTGTCCTCCCGTTACCCTAAGGAGAACTATGGGGAAAAGCCTTAACCCCATAGTTCTCCTTTAATTTAAAATTAAAATACACACTAATATAAAGTATACTTCGAAATTAAACCGCACGCACAATTTTTGGGGATTCGCACTGCACTGGAACACACAGCATTGCGCTACCATGCGTTCCAGTGCGGGCGATCACACTGTGGGTGGGAGGCGCGTTTGGGGTGCCATTGAAATGAATGGCACAGCAACGCACCTCCCGCAGCAGAATTTGTCAGGCTTACTTTTTTCCCACCTTTTATCGTTTAAAAAAAAATAATTGTATTGTGAGCACGGGGCACTTGAATAGCTTCAGCCCGGGAATGACCGCTGCCGGTAGCAAGATTCTGCAGAAGGTAAATATGGCAGGTCAGGTAGTGGGCGGGTGCAATAGCCAGCCGGACTCAGTTTACAGGTGCCCGCAGGTCAGAGGAAGATCCGGGTTTCAGGCAGATGCGGCTTCCCTAGATTGCATTTGCAGAGGACCTCGGCAGCCGCATCTGTGATTGCTCCTACCTCCTCTTCCGGCTCCCTGACACCGTGCTGCCTGCCTGGGGACCCCTGGTGAGTGTCGTACAGCCTCCTGATAGTCGCACAGCCCACCTGAGTTTCGTGAAGCCCACCTGAGAGACGCACAGCCCACCTGAGAGTCGCACAGCCCACCTGAGAGTCGCACAGCGCACCTAAAAGTCTTGCAGCCCAACTGAGAGTCGCACAACCCACCTGAGCGTCACACAGCCCACCTGAGCGTCACACAGCCCACCTGAGAGTCACACAGCCCACCTGAGAGTCACACAGCCCACCTGAGCATCACACAGCCCACCTGAGAGTCGCACAGCCCACCTGATTGTTGCACAGGCCACCTGGAGACATCAGGGCGCCAACCCAGAACAACACAGAGTATGTAGCTTCATATTATTTTGTATTGCTGTGTAATGTATTGCTGGGATTTGTAGTCATCCATAGCTGGTCTCCTTACTCCCTCCCCTGGCTGCCTCTCCTCGCTCTCCCTATATTCTAAAAAAGAAATTGCAGACTACAATGTTCAGGTTTCACTTGAAGAAAAGGTGACAACCCTAAGATAGATAGATAGATAGATAGATGGATGGATGGATGGATGGATAGATAGATAGATAGATAGATAGATAGATAGATAGATAGATAGATAGATAGATAGATAGATAGATAGATAGATAGATAGATAGATGGACGGATTGATGGATAGATAATGGATAGATGTTATATCTGTGCTCCTCTATGGGATTCATAGGTTGTTGTCTCGCAGTTCTTTGTTCAGAATATTTTGCAGTCATAGTCTCATATTGTTAATTCACCATCTTCATTCCGCGGAACTTTCTTCCCATAATGAAGGACAACAATCGTTGTCTGAGCTGGTTCATGGTGTGCGTCACGTATGTCCGGGATTTGTGAGGGTGAGATCAAAGGTTCATATATTGTTAGCATGACCGTCACCAACATGGACACTTTCTCATGCTCTCGGTGATCCGTGGAAGTTCTCTATCTCCAGTCTGGTCTCCACTTCAGACCAAATGTATCTAAAAAAGGAAATGTTCCGCTCCGAGCAGATATTAAAGTCTCAGATTGATGTCGTTTTGCAATCATTAAAGGAGAACTATGAGGGGAGTGCTTTTCACTCACCTCATAGTTCTAGCCGACCTGTGACAATGAGACTGTCACAGGTCGGCTCAGTAGATCGGAAAGTGAGCGAACACATACCGGCGTTCGCTCACTTCTCCATCCTGTCACGGCTCTCTGCCGTGACAGGGGAGGGGCTGTATTCCCCCCTCCCCGCTCCGATCCGCCAGCGCGGAACGGACAGTGGAGAGGGTGGGTACAGCTGGATCTGCCTTTAGATAGGCAACGCGGTCACTCATGCAGCTGGGCGGATCCAGACATAATTGTCGGGATCCGTTTCAGCTGCGGCGTCTGCGTTTCAGCTGCGGCTTCAGCTGCGGCGTCTCAGTATACCGCGAGCTGCAGCTCGCGGTATACTGAGCTTTGGGTTAGAAAAACACTCACCTCATAGTTCTCCTTTAAGGTCTAGTTCACACCAGCCCGATTCTCGCATTCCGGCCAGCTCACTTTGTTGTGGGGCGGGAGGGGGCGTGGCAGTGCATTGAACTCAATGGAACCGCAGCCACACCCTCCGGTCGCAATGCAATCGGACGCACCAGAACGCGTGGCACAGCAATGCCTGTGATCCGGTCCGGTGCTATCAGAAAAGATAGTGCATGCAGCATTTTGTCTGTCTGGACCGGAAGGCAAGCACTGATGTGCCCCACGTTCAATGCACAGCCATGCCCCAACACAAAGTGAGCCGGCCGGAATGCGATCCGGTGCGTTCCGGCCAGAATCGGCCCGGGACGTACATGACGCACAGCATGCACCAGGTCAGAAAACGATTGTTATCCTTCATTATGGGAACAAAAGTTCAGCGGAATGAAGACGGTGAGTTAACAACCTGGGAATATGACTGCAAAATCAGTTCGGAACGCACAGAGGCAGGTGTGAACTAGCCCGGAAGATGAAGTTTCATGTGCTTTTATTTTGTCTTCCCTGTTTCCCCCTCCCCCCCTCATCAACATGGGAATGACATTAAATCAAACCATTCCATTTTCACTACATATCTTATTTTAGATTCAGTGACATCATCACTGGGTCTCTGTGCTTCTCTATACAATGCAGACAGATTATTGCTGTGGGAAGGGTTCGCCAGGGTGCTGTCCAATGATTCCTGAAAACACAGAGCTCTGCCTTAGTACTTCTCTCAAGAGTGGGAAAGATATAGAACTGTCCAGGACTCCAGATTTCCCCTTACTTCTTGTACTGCTGACAATGTTTTACTAGACAAAAAGTTAGGGGAACAATCCAACAGGGCCAGATTTACTCTCTCTGCTTCCCAATGGCCAGCTTCCTCAATGCGCCCCCCTCCCTGCCAAACCCTGCCCCAATTGAGAATGGCAACCAGATGGCGGGGGCAGCAGGGTTGGTTTTATTTATTTTGTTTATTATTTTTTTACTTTTTTATCACTTTTCTTATTTTTCTTTTTTTTTTTAACATTTTTTAAATTTTGATTTATCTTATTAACTTTTAATTGTTTTATATTTTTTTATTTTATTACTTTTTTACCACTTTTTTATTTTAATTATTATTTGTTATGAATTTTTAACTTTTTTTATTTCATTATTTTTTTATCAATTTACATTTTTTTACTTAACTTTTTCTTAACTTTATTGTTATCACACAGGAGCTAACAAGCCCCCTGTGTGATAGCATTTGGAGGTAACAGGTTCTCTTTATTGAACCTGTCACCTCCACTGGCATTCTAGCACAGCATTGTGCTGGAACTCCTGTGACAGCTGAGATGGGAAGACTGCGAGTGCAGCTCTCCCGTCTCAGTGTTTACATGGAGCAGAGCGGGGATCATCCTGCTCTGCTCCCCGCTCTTCATCCTGAACTACCTTGCCATGGTCCCGGGTCACGCAAAAGAGCAGGGGACCCCGAAAATGACGGTGAGGAGGGCGGTGGCCAACGAGGAGAGAGGCGGCTGGCAGGAAGAGAGGTAGCCGGCGGGGCGGCAGGGGGGACAAACCTGCAGGCTGCATACAAGTGATCTCGGGGCCATCGTTGAAATCACTTGAACAAAACAAGTGGCGGCTTCCTCGTTGTACATTTAGCACTGCTTGCCCAAAGCAGGGCTAAATGTAGAAAACAACTACCCGCCTGAGACCCGGAACTGCATGTCCCAGGAGATAGGAATTCCACACCCCCGCTGCCCCTCTATTCCCTGCTGCACCAAGGCCCGGGCCTCAGTGGCCTTGTGGGAAATCTGGCCCTGCTCTCCAATAGCAACACAGACAGAAGTAAGAACGCTATCTGATACTAGAGTAGGAAAAGACTAGAACCCCTGTCAGATTTTCTTTGCTGTCTCTGTTGTAGATTTCCCCTCACTTCCTGTCTGGTTATAACTATTAATGTACCGATACCGAGTATTTGGGCGAGTACTCCTATTTGCCTAAATCTCTGATGGTTACCTAAATACTGGAACTTCCAGTCAGAGGGAGATTTCCCCTGACCAGCAGTGCCGCAAGGAAATACAGAGCTGGCTTCCCGGGCAATCAGGAAGCCAAGCGGCAGGTAATGACTGGCCACGCAGCTTCCTGATTGCCCGGGAAGCAAGCTCCATGCTCCATTTCCGACCAATCAGCATCGAACCGGCCAAACAGCATGGAGACGGCTTCCCGGCCAATCAGCATGGAGGCAGCTTCCCGGGCAATCAGGAAGCCAGGCGGCAGGTAATGACCCGTCGCCCAGCTTCCTGATTACCCGGGAAGCTGGCTTCATGTTGACTGACTGGGAACACGGCTTACCGGCCAATCAGGAAGACGAGCGGCAGGTAATGACTGGCCGCCCAGCTTCCTGATTGGCAAGGAAGCCAGCTCAATGCTGATTGACTGGAAAGCAGGCTTTCCCGGCAATCTGCATCGAACCGGCCAAACAGCATGGAGACGGCTTCCCGGCCAATCTGGAAGCTGGGCAGCGGATATTGATCCACCTCTTGGCTTCCTGATTGGTCGGGACCATATGCAAACCACGACCGTGCGGGTGAGCGTCCTCGTACGCTGACAGGATGGATCCCGTCTGCGTCCAAGCCGGGACACCCGCACCAGTATGGACCTGCACTTGAGGTGAGCGTAGTGGGGCGCATGATCGCGTACTCCCATAGAGAAGGACGGGCTGCGTACTAATCACACGCAGCACCTGTCCTTCCCGGGAGCTGCCCGATACGGCCGTGCACGCAGCACGGAGCTGTACGTGCCGGCCGATTCTCGTGTGAATGAGGCCTAAAGGTGGAAGGTGGAAATAGACAATGTTTCCAATTCTGTTCCAGTCATTGAACTCTTCCATCAGAGCTTTGCTGCCCCCTTGAGTTTAAAACTGGCATTACACATATGAATACAATCTTATCGCATATACAGTACATGTGTGGTCGGGGTAGAGCAGGGGTCGGCAACTGCGGCCCCCCAGCTGTGCTTTAACTACAAATCCCAACATGCCTCTGCCTCTGGGAATAATGCCTGTAACTGTCAGTCTTGCAATGCCTCATGGGACATGTAGTTCCACAACAGCTGGAGGGCCGGAGTTGCCCACCTGTTGGCATTACCAGAAAACTTTATGTCCCCGTCATTTTAAATGCAATGAGCTGAAATCTCAGACAATGTTATTAGCGCCCAGCAGTTCTCTACTTGGACTACTGAACCCGCCATGTAATGGAGATGAGGAGAAGTGATTGTGGCAGGCTTTGGTGTTCATCCATAGATACAGTGCAGGGAGTGAGCGTTGTCACCCTAGGACAGGAAGTGTGTTACAGGCAGGATCACCAGGGGAAAATCAAGGTAAAATAAAGATAAGTGATGGGCTCAATGTTCGAGTCAATCGGCAGTTCGTGTGTTCGGCGAACACACAGACTATCAGGGCGTTCGGCGGGTGAACGCCACACAAGGCACTGCACACCGCACAGTGCCTTGTGAGAGCCCTGATTGGGTAAAGCAATGCACCTGAACACAGGTCAGGTGCAAGATTTTACCCAATCACAGCACAGTGCACTGTGAGAGCCATGACTGGGCAAAGTAATGATGACTTTGCCCAATCATGTCTCACAGCTAAGTCCTATCAAGTGGCGGCAAAACATAAACAATTTGTTTATATTTTGCCGGCATCTGTGCTGATCTCCTGGGTGCCCAGCAGTTCTGATTGGTTCCAAACGCCACATCATTATAGGACTCCATACTAAGTGACCGCCCCCACCCCCTGCTCACACGCACACCTGCTGCCCCCCAAAGAGATTCCGCCTAAGGCTGCCTCATTATAGGGACAGACCTGCTTTTAATGTCGCTGATGGTCCACTTTGAGTGGTCACTTTAAGTTATCATTTTAGAATGGTTCCAGCAAATACTGATAACTAATGGCAGCCCAGTCAGTCCCTCCTTATGGCACTTTGATAAATCAGGGTGTGGAAGGAAGCTCCTCCCACACCTTAAAAGAGGGTCACATATGGACAGCTCAGCTCTAGACTGCTGGTAACCAGAGACGCCTCACCTATCAGTACAGGAGGCTGTCCACAGCGTGCCTTCATATAAAAGCGATATGTTTCATTAATCTATAATGTTATGTCGCCAATTTTCAGCACTCTGACAATTCAGCTCCTTCCACAATAATCATCTTGATATGATATATTCTCGCTGTGACTGTTATCACCAAGAACCCGTTTTTTTAAAATCAGGCACCTCTGAGGACAGCCCTCTGTTTCCAGGCTGCGCCGGGGTCCTCCGGCAGCCATCTTTGCTCCCCCTCCCGCTCTAGTGGATGAATGAGTCGCCAGCAGAGGCTGCCCTAAGCAGGAAGCGGGTGAACCGGCACAATCTGTCTCCATCCTCCGCTCCTGGGTCATGGAGTTTACCGCCGTCAGTGTCCTCTTCTTCCTGCTGGCCCTGGTCTCCGCAGGCCGGGCCCACGAACTCGTCAATGAGGACGTCAAGCGCACCGTGGACCTCGGGAGCCACTTGGCCAAAGTGACGGCCGAGGTGAAGCTCTCCAACCCCGGACCCGGAGCGGCTCAGACCTTCCTGGTGGCCCTGGAGCCCGAGCTGGCCCCTCGCCTGGCCTTCCTGGGGGTCAGTATGCTGGGATTGGGGGGGCTGTCATCATTGGGGATCTGTCAATGCATCTGATCAGTTGGGAAGAAGGGAGGGGTGTGTGTATATGTGTATATATATACATGTGTGTGTGTGTGTATAGCATAGCAATACATTGTTTATAAATATTATGGGATGCTTTGTTTACATGTTCTTGACTTATGAGCAGAGGAAGAGTCATGGGGTTCACCTTCTTGTGCTCAAAGTGGACCTGTTACATGAGCAACATGGAGTCTGCCATTGCAGTCCTCAGCTGCTGCCTTTCATTCTCATCCTCTGGCTTCAATAATTATAGAGCAAGGCTTTTGTGAGAGACACACATGGGTGCTGACATGCTCATCCTCTGGCTTTGGTAATTGAAAGCAAGCCTTTCGCGAGGGGCACGCATACAGGGCTGTCATTGCCAATCCCCTTTATGGAGGTTGCTGTTTGATGCTGGCCAGCTTGAGTTGTCGACCTGGAACAAGTATGACTGGCATCCTCATCCGCCTGCTGGTTCCAGGTAAAAGACATGAAGGGGAATACATCAAAACCTGGAGCCGTTGCCCATAGCAACCAAGCAGCTTCTCTCTTCTGCTGGTTCAGTTGAGCTTTGAAAATGAAAGAGAAGCTGATTGGTTGCCATGGGCAACTGCTCCAGTGACCTCGAGAGGATCAGCATGATGGCCGGGAAGTTGGCATTTGCAGAGTGAGAAGTAGCAATGGCCGCTTGCATGTCTCTCTCTCGGGGAAAGGTTTCACCAATCTGGGACAGGTGTATAGATCAGGACTTCTGTCCTCATCTGCATACTTACCCATCAGGCCCCATTCCAGATTTTGTCTGCTCCAGTCCCCTCGTAACTTGAAGCAAGAAGATCGGCCTGACGGGCAAGAAGTTGGCAGTTGCAGAGTGGGAAGTAGCGATGGCCACGTGCACGTCTCTCTCCCGGGAAAGGTTTCACCGATCTGGGACGGGTATATAGATCAGGACTTCTGTCCTCACCCATCAGGCCCTGCTCGCACTTGTCTGTCTTCATGCAGCACATTGCAAGCGTCTTACTGCATGAAGACAGACAAGTGCGAGCAGGGCCTGATGGGTAATAAGTATACAGGTGAGGACAGAAGTCCTGATCTATATACCCGTCCCACATCGGTGAAACCTCTCCCGGGAGAGAGAGAGACATGCAAGCTGCCATCGCTACCTCTCACTCTGCAACTGCCAACTTCCTGGCCGTCATGTGTCATTTGCGACTAGAAATCCCTTTTTATTATGAGATGCAGTTCAGTGAGAAAGTTGTACTATGTCGTCCCATTTGCACCTACGCATGTGCACCAGAAAGTATTGAGGCCGGCGGGTCAGCCATGAAACTGGCCAATGACCAGTCCGGGGTTTTGTTGCATTTTGCCCAAAGTGGGCCTGTCAGCACTGTATAGTAGTTGGCTCTGTCATACGGTGCAGGATGGGGTCTGAGCCCTGGTGGGGGCAGGCACTGTGTACAGAGCGGGAGCATAGGGATGATGATATAGATGGGGATAGACTGTGTGCACAGTGACAGCTCCCTCCCCTCTGGGGCTCTTCCGCCTCTGGCTGCTGCTCTGTAAGATTGTGACACGTCAGCACAAGACCGCTCCGTCCACTTCCTGCTCGGCAACACTTCCTAGACTTGCTGCTCAGTGTGTGGAGGACGGAATGGTTACATTGTAACACGTTGCAGATCCTTCCATTCCTGCACATCGCAAATCATTAACAAAGAACAGAAATGGCGCTTTTCACAGAATCTACTTATTTTGTCTCTGAAGCTCCAGATTTGGGGATTCTTTGTTGTACATTATTGAATTGTGCTCTCGTCTTCCGTTTTATTATGATACGAAGATCAGCTTTTTGTCTTCTGTTATCACTTTGTCCAATAATAAAATCCTTTGTCTGGTTTTATCTATTTGATTTTAATCAGGAGAGATTTAACGGATTTGTTGCCAGTAATTTATAAAATAAAGAGCCCTTATCCTTTTTTGCCCTTCAAACTCCCCCCAACCCCCCTTCCCCCTTGCTCCAGATGTGGACTTACCTAAAGTGATAGAAAACTCAGGAATTAAATATTAAAAATGCATTCCAGCTCCTTATTAACAAAAAACAATATATCAGTTCTGGGTGTATTGACCCTTTAATTCTGTGCCTAAGGAGGCTCTGGTGTTCCCTTCTATAAAATATAAGAATTTAGGAACAAGAACAATGTGACACACACTGAAATAACACTAAAATACGTTCAAGAACCTGAGCTATTAATAACAATGTATGTTATTTGTGTATCACTCGGCTGGAGATCCTCCAATCATCTCTGAATTGGTGCTGACACTGTCCTTCCTTCTGGAGGGGGGCTACTTGTGTTCCCCATGGTCCCTGTGTGTGCTGTAAAGTAGTCACCGCTCCAAGCTCACTCCCGGGATGGATTACAATCTCATGTTTAGTTTACTCATGTGTAGTACAGATTGTAGTCCATCCCGGGAGTTAGTTTGGAGCGGTAACTACTTTACAACTCAAAATAATATTTTTGTTAATAGTTAAGGTACTTAAATGTGGGGGCGGGGACTTAAACATTTTTTAATTTTTTTTTATGATTCTTTAATTTTAGTATAACTTTTTTTTAGGGCTGTTACTGATTAAAATTTTTGTGTTCGATTAATGTAAATTCTTTTTAATCGATTCATTTCGATTCATTATAACGCACATACAAATCCAACTACATCGGCCTATACACATACAGCACAGCAATGAAGTAATAAAATGAACTAGGATCACACTAATCCAGCACGTTATTATTCTCACGTGCCCCACTCAATATGGCCGC